CTATAGCTTTATGATATGTATTTCTTAAATAATAAGACTTAAAAAGTTGAAATTACTTCTTGATCCATAGGCTACAGAATGGTTGTTCTGTTAGCAGTCATGAAAACATTAATCTCCCTGTACTTCTCCATCAGAACTCTTGCATGGCTTGGTGCACTGTCAATGAACAGTGATTATTTGGAAAGAAATATTTTTTTCCTCAGCAGTAGGTCTCAACAGTGACCTTAAAGTATTCAGTAAACCATGCTGCAAACAGATGTGCTGCCATCCAGACTTTGTTGTTCCATGTATAGAACACAGGCAGAAAAGATTTAGCATCATTCTTAAAGGCTCTAGGATTTTCAGAATAATAAATGAGCACTGGCTTCAACTTATAGTCATCAGCTGCATTAGTCCCTAGCAGGAGAGTCAGCTGGTCCTTCGAAACTTTTAAGCCAGGCATTGACTTCTCTTCTCTCGCTATGGAAACTCTAGATTTATCTTCTCCCAATATAAAGCTGTTTAATCTACACTGCAAATCTGTTGTTTAGCATAGCTACCTTCATCATTGATCTTAGCTAGATCTTCTGGATAACTTGCTGCAGCTTCTATATCAGCACTTGCTGTTTCACTTTGCACTTTTATGTTACAGACTTGGCTTCTTTTTGTAAACCACATGAACCAACCTCTGCTAGCTTCAAACTTTTCTTCTGCAGCTTCCTCACCTCTTTCAGCCTTCACAGAATTGAAGTGAGATAGGTCCTTGCTCTGGATTAGGCTTTGGCTTAAGAAAATGTTGCAGCTGATTTGATCTTCTATTCAGACCACTAAAACTGTCTCCACGTCAGCAATAAGGTTGTTTGCTTTCTTATCATTTGTGTGTTCACTGGAGTAGCATGTTTAATCTTCAATAACCTTTTCTTTGCATTCATAACTTGGCTGTTTGGCACAAAGGGACTTGCTTTCACCCTATCTTGGCTTTCAACATGCCTTCCTCACTAAGTGTAATCATTTCTGGTTTTTAATTTAAAGTTAGAGACATTTCTCCTACTTGAACACTTAGAGACCATTGCAGAGTTATTAATCAGCCCAATTTCAATATTGTTCATCCCTGTTTCTTTCAATATTGTTGTCATTTCAGGGAATAGAGAGACCCAACGAGTGGGAAAGAGATGGGCGGATGGCTGGTTGGTAGAGCAGTCAGAAAACAAACACACACAACATGTATCGATGAAGCTTATTGTCTCATACAGGTGCAGGTGGGCACCCCCAGGGCAATTAAAATAGTAACGTCAAAGATCACCAATCATAGGCAACCATAAAAATATAATAATAGTAAAAAAAGCTTGATGTTACAAGAATTATCAAATTGTGACATAGACAAAGAATGAGCACATGCTATTGGAAAAATGGTGCTGATAGATTTGCTTGACGCAGGGTTGCCACAAACCTTCAATTTGTGTTTTTTACAAATTGAATAAACCCACTGGAAGGAGTCAAATGAAATTAAGTAGTGGCTTGGTTCTTTTTTTTTTCTTGTGAGACAAAGTCTCACTCTGTCACTCAGGCTGCAGTGTGGTGGTGCGATCTAAGTTCACTGCAACCTCTGCCTCCTGGGTTCAAGTGATTCTCATGTCTCAGCCACCTGAGTAGCTGGGATTACCGGCACACACCGTCACACCCCGCTAATTTTTATATTTTTAGTAGAGATGACGTTTTGCCTTGTTGGCCAGGCTGGTCTCGAACTCCTGGCCTCAAGTGATTCACTTGCCTTAGCCTTCCAAAGTGCTGGGATTATAGGTGTGAGCCACCATGCCTGACCTCAAATAGTGGCCTGGTTCTGAGACTACTTGGATAGTCCAGACGTATTCTGATTTAACAAACTTAGTGGGAACATACTTCACTAAGTATTTTTCTGAAAATTTCAGACAAAAATCCAGCCCACTCTTGTTTAAGTGCCCTGAGGAACAATGTGTTTATCTTTTATAGATGCATAGTGTCTAGCACAGGGTCAGATGTTAGTCAAATATACATGTTCACTGAAATGTCTGTTTGAATTTAATGTTCAGCAAGTTTACTGGCTACATACTTGTTTGGGTTTATGATTGCATCAAACTCCTGCTCTCTGCATAGAAGGAGAGTGAGGATTACACTCAGTCCAGAGTAACATGAGTATCTTGGCTCATCCATCCCTAATGGTCTTGGAGCCCGGGCTGAGGGCTATCCTTGGTCTTTGCTTTAATTTGTTGTCTCTTTAAATTGTTCTAACTTTTTTTTTTTTTTATGGAATCTTTACACTGTTCCCCAGGCTGGAATGCAGTGGTGTGATTTCAGCTCACTGCAATCTCTGCCTCATGAGTTCAAGCAATCCTCCTGCCTCAGCCTCCAAGTAGCTGGGATTACAAGCATGCATCGCCGCGCCTGGCTACTTTTTATATATTTTTTTAGTAGAGACACTGTTTCACACCCTCTTGGCCAGGCTGGTCTCGAACCCCTGGCCTCAAGTGATTCACCTGCCTTGGCCTCCCAAAGTGCTGGGATTACAGGCGTGAGCCACCACACCCGGTCAAACTGTTCTAACATTTAAAGCTTAGGTACAAATGTTAGTCGAGAGTAAAAATGACACACTGTCTCCTTGTGTCAAGCATTACTTCTTTCTGGCTGACAGAGCCAGGTGGCTCCTGAGTCATCTGGAAAGGCCTATCATAGTGCCTGGACCCTCTCCAGACCCTTCTCCAACGCAACAGTTCCTTGCCTCTTGTTCTGACTTCTCAAAGGAATTGAAATCCCCAGTCATTATCTCATAGTACCCCTCTGCTGCCCCATGAGAAGTGAGGAAACCTTTCCTAGCCAGCTCTTCTGGCTCAGCACCAAATTTCCCCTTTGATCCAGCTAGTTCCTGTAGACTCACTGTGGGGAGGAAAAGCCTGGTTCATGAAGAGAAAGAACTTGTCCATCAAAACAGAGCAGGATAAAGCAGATGCCTAACATGGAATCAAAATGATATTCAGCAAATATTTATTGAGCATTTACTAGGTGCCAGGGCACTGTGTCAGACACTGAGATAACAGCCTGAATAAGACAAATAAGTCCCTACTGTCATAAAGCTTAGATCCAGCTAGGCAAGATAGGCTTTGCAAAAAGATGCATTTAGCCAATTCAGCTAAGGGCTGCAGAGATGAAGTAGAGGCACAGAGTACGAATGGGTGTGGGTGGGGATGACCTATCCTGCTACAAGTGGGGAATCGTGGTCTATCAACCAGAAAGATTCTCATCAAGGTGGAAAGATCTAAGTAGACAGACAGAAATATGTCTCCTAATTCTGTGGGAATTGCGGGGAGGGAGAGTCTCATCAATCAGAGGAGAAAGACAATCAAGGGGCAAGGAGGAAAGGGCAGCAGAGGTCATGTGGGTCAGAGGGGCAGCCTGGGCACCACTCTCATCTTCTCCATATCATGTGGCCAACTCCAAAGCCAGGTACCAAGGTGAGGATGGTGTGGGGAGAAAGATAAGAGGATAAGGACACAGCCTATTGGAGGATGAGTCCTGTGAGGTAGTCTTACCATGCCAATCCCATTGCTAGCCCTTGACCACCATTGTAACCTCAGCCATTCTTCAAGGGAAAACTAACCAAAGCAATAATAGCAGATTCAAGGTGCAGGTGAGAAAAACAGAATCTGAGAACCTCTGTGGATCTCCCACACCCCATGCACAGCCCATGGCCTCAGCCTCCCTCTGGCCTGGACCTCTCTTTCCCACAGCCTAGGGACCTGTGACTCTCTCCTGCCCCACAATTCCTGCCTCAAGCAACAAAAGGCCGCCTTTGATGATCTAGTTATGGAACTGTGTTCTTTCCTCCTTGCCAGCTTTGTCTAGGAAACACAAAGACAGTAAACAGGGGGTGGGTAAACAGAGAGCTGAGATTTTTCTGGGAATGAGAATTAAGATTGGACTCAGGGTCTTTGGCCATTTCCCAAATGCAATGAGTTTATCATTACCAGGGACAGCAAGAGTACAAAGCTCTTGGCAGTGACCTCTGCTGATTTATGGGGGTGCTGGTTTGTTTCCCCTATTCTGCAGACAACCAGTCTTAAGGGAAACGTATATCCAGAATCTGCAAAGTGCAAGGGAGTCATTGGCAAAACCAGCCAAGCTAAGCCCCTGCTGAGAGTAAATTCCTAAGGGGCTAGAGAAAAAGCGCACACTCTCTCTCTTTTGCTTTGTCTTGCCTTATCTTCTTCCCTCCTTTCCCGCTTCCTTCCTCTCTCCCCTCCTCTTTCTCTCTTTCTTGCTCGCTCTCTCTCTCTCTCCAACAGATGACTGAGTTGACTATGAACAAGCAGAACTACCAGACGTCACTCCCACCTTGGGGTGCACTCCCACCTTGGGGTGCATCCTCCAGGGAGGATGAAGATGGTTCTCTAAACAATGAGAAATGAATGCTCTAAGGGCTCTAAGTCACACCAGTGTCTTAGCCAGAGTCCTCGGCAGTGGGAGGAATCACACCCCTGGTGTGGTTGACAGCTGTAGTGCAGGGATGTTACCCTGATGAGCCACTCTACCTTTATTTTCTCTTCTTGGGCCAGGAGAACTGTGCTTGCCCGGGATGCTAAGGCAGAATCAAAGCCAACTAGAATCAATAGGGTCCGAGGCACACTGAGAGCTGGAGAGAGCATGCAGTACAAACTGTCTCAAAACCGCACCTGCTGGAAATCAATATATTGCTGTGAGAGTCCTCATTTGGAAATCTCCTTTCTTTTTAGATCAAACACGGTGACTCTCTCAAGAAGTAGGGAAGGTAATCAGACAAATGACTGGGGCCCTGGGCTGCAAGCACATAGCCTAACTCCTCAAGAAGACCCTTATGTCCTCCCCTTTGCTGTGGGCTCCTAAGACAGCACAGATCTCATTTCCCAGCTTCAGAACGTCCTCCTGGAGTGGAGAACCACTCGGCTGGAGCACTGCACAGCAGCCAAGAGCTCTTCTTGTGATTTTCAAGTACCCTATTTTTCTTTTTGCAGGTGTGTGTGCCTCATCTCCGCCCTCCATACCTAAGCTGCCTAGAATCACATCCAGACTCTGGGAGCTGTTGGGTCCCATGTAGTCTTTTGAAGGAAAATGAGGCTGTGTGGGCAGGATGTGGTGTTGCTGTGTGGGGTGATGGAGAAGGAACCGGACTGGGAGCCAGAGGGCTCACCTTTCTAGTCCTGTCAGTCACACAATTAAATATGGAAGTAGAAGTGGAAGCACCACAAAAATGATTATACATGTCAAGTGGCAATGATAATTGCATGCTGTGACTGTCCTTGCAAGGGATGATTTGTGGGATGAGGGAGAAGATTCTGGAAAAAGGAAAAGCAAAGAGGATCTGGGAGCAGAGTCTAGCTATATTATTTTAGTCATTGGTGATGTTTGCTCTGAAGCAGCGCTTAGGTTTAAACAACCTCATTTTACAGATGAGGATACTCAGACTCTAACAGGTCAAGTGGCTTGCCCAAAGTAAGTATGGATCCAGGATTTGAACCCAGAGCTATGTGACCCTAAAACTCATGCTCTTCTCATGTTGATGTGCTGCTTTTCATTGACCTTGACTTGGGTCCCAAGGGGAGTCAGCATTGCTTAGCTGAGACAAAGTCCTTCCATGTCGTTTCAGGAATGTTGGGGGCCTCCTCTTGAGTCCTGAACCTGAGTCCTCCTAGTAAGATATGTGGCCACTTTTTGTGATTCCCTTTTGGGTACCATTCATGATCACTGCTGTTAGCAATGGTAATGGCCAAGACACTAGGGATGGCCCAGGTGTCTTGACAGGCAGGCCATGCACAACTTGCTATCCATACTTGAAGGAAGCTATAAACATCCTTGGAAACAAGGTCCCAAACTGGTAAAGCGTGAAGGGATGATGGGCTCTTAGGAAGCCATAAATCTGTATCCTTGAGTCTTACCTTTCAAGAGACTTGAATATGTTTGACCGAAGACTCTGTATCCTTGAGTCTCACCTTTCAGGAGACTTGAATATGTTTAACCATACCAAAGGTCCGCAGACCTTAGGCATGGTTAGCAGAAGCCTAGGGAAAATTGGCTCTTCTTCAGCATGGTTCTTGCAGGACAGCACAGTGGTGAGGACTTGAAGTGGATCACAGGTCAGTGTCTGCTTCATAATCACAGAAGAAGCAACAGAAAAGACACCGCAGCAATACGGACATCCACGTAAGTGAAAGGTAGGAAGCTGTTGCTCCTCCTGGATGTGTCTTTGGATGAACATCTTGGCATCATGTGGATTTAAAATGGGAAGCCCCCCTTTGGATTTCCTTAGCCTCTTAGGTAAGACATGGGAACCCCTTGTTTCCACGTAAGGCATCATTCCAGGTCATAAGAGGATGTGAGAGTAAATGATCATTTACCTTTACTCTGCAAAGCATTTATTAAAACATATTTAATTTAACTGGCCAAAGGGCACAGTATTCTCATGCTGTTCAATGCCTATTCTTAGGTAACGGTAGGTTCAAAGACAGCTCTGCATATTGTCTTTCACCTACCCAAATATCACAGATATCAACGCGGAAAAGTGTTTTCCTTTTCCTCCTCAAGAAGGTTGGGGGTTTGGTGTAAAGAACCTATGCTCAGAAGTAGCAACCAAGAAATTCTGGAATTGAAATCTTTGAACTACTAGTCTGTCGGGTAATAAACAGAACTGGATCACAAACGACTGATTTATTCTTTGCAAAATGCATCCCTCCCTCTGCTGTTCATCTCCCAAAAATAAAACCACCCACAGGATAAAATGAGTAACTTCCCTAGAGCAAGCAGTGTCACAGACTCCCTTATTAAAATATGTCTGGCATGAGAGTCTACCAGGAAATGCCCTCCAATAGAGGATTAATACCAGGAAACTTGGCGTGGTCTTGTGATACTGGCACGCAATGCCGCCACCTCCACCACTGGAGCAAAGATGAACAGCTGGGAAGACTTCTACTTCTGAGTAATCTGGGCAAACATGAAATCATACTCCACTGGACTTTGGCTTTTAAACCAAGCAAATAATAGAAACCTTGCCTTCCTTATTTAAACATTCACATTTAGGTAATAATATAAACTTTTTGCTAGCGGCCTCTTGTCTGCTCATGGTGGGTGTGGACTTGACAGTATCTTTCTCAGCTCTTTTATCTCCCAGACCTCATTCTGGCCTTCAGCATGCTCTTTGATTCTCTCATGAGTTCATGACGGCCAAGGAGAGCTTTGGTGTGTCAGGCTGAGGGCTACTTAAGGAAAGGAGCCCACCTGTGCTTTTGGATATTCACAGCGCCTAGAACATCTGGCACTTAGTGGGTATTCCAAGTTTTGCTGAATTGGCATATTGTAGAAATTTAACGTAACTCGTCTTTCTTGATTACCTACTAGGTGTACTCCCCAAAGTTGTCTGGCAAAGCTCTCCAAAGTTGAAAGCTAAGAGACAAATTGTCCCCCACTTCTTTGATGACAGGCGCAGCTAAGAATGTTATAATTCTGGACTGAATTGTCAGCATTCAGCATTCCCTTTGTGCTGTCGGAACCTATAGAGGGTAAAGAAGACCAAATCTCTCCTCCCATGAAAGAACTTTCAAATCCAGAAGTCTGGAAGACCCAGACACTCCAGGTACAGGGCAGGGTGGGGCACCTCAGCAGATACCGCAGGTACCGGGAAAGCAGTGGAGCTGGGGCAAAGAGGAAGGTGAGGTGGGGAACTGCAAGGACCAAAGCCAGTGGGGCCGGGCTGGCTCATCCTACTCCACTATCGGTCCATTTAAAGGACAGATTTCCAATCCAATCCTATCTCAATGAAATGCTTTCTTAGGTCTGGTTTGTTTTGTTTGTAAAGAATGATGTGCTTTTATACAAGCTCTGCCCGATGGCTAGCCATCTGGGCCTTCTATTTCCCTCTGCACAGAACCTCATGCCCCACAGGTCAAGGTCTCCCAACCTGAATGGGAAAATGGATGCTCATGACGTCGACGGATGGGCAGATGGACAAATGAGTGAATGGATCCAGGGCCATCGTCCTTGGAATGTCCTTGGATACTCTGAGATTTTTAAAATGGAAGCCAAGCAGCCACTGTGCTGGCAGCTGATTCCTATCTCTTCTAGAGCCTGTGGAGGCTTTGGAAAGAGGCAGATGTCCTACAAGGAAGCTGTGGGTTCTCAATACTTCCTGTGGTTTAATTCTCTCCACCAATAACTGCCAGCAGAGCTTTAGACGACATGCCCCAGGATTCAGATCTTTCTCCTGGCTCCAGCCCGCTCTGCCCATCACCATGGGATTCACCCACTTCCAGGTGAAAGCCTTCAATGCTTTGCTACTGTCTTCAGGATGAGAATCTCAAATTCCTTAAGATGCACTCTAGGACCAGAACATTCTGTTCTTATATCCTTTTCTGGCATTTCCCCCCCGCCCCATCTAAGGGCAGATACTTTGAGAGAATTTCTTTTGGATTCAGCTTGGAATTATGAGACCCCCCAGAGAGTTCTAAAGCCATTAATTTTTGTGAGTTCACAGTTACAAATATATAGCACTTTTTACTTTTTCAAAGATTTTTCAGGGCTATTAGCTCATCTGATTTCTCTAAAATCCTTAGCAGGCTGTAGAGAAGAAATCACCCCCATTTTACAGATGAGGAAACTAAGGCAGAGAAGGTCAAGGCTTTTGCCTGAGACCACATAGCAAGTAGGTGACAAGGTAGGTCCTTCGAGGCCCCACGGTTAGGAACAGAGAATTCAATCTGTAGCATAAAGAACTGAGTCCTTTAAAAAAAGTAATCGTGGCCCATATTTTTTCTCCCCTCACAAGGCTAAATCTATGAAACTGGAACAACACAGCAAACAGCTGAGGGCTATGGTCACAGCCCACAGACCTGTATGGAAGATTTGGTCTTGGCCCAAATTTTCAAAGCTAAATGGATCAGCAAAACACAAGTGCAAATGCTGGGCCCATGCTGACAGGGTGTCTTGTGAAATATTTCCACAGGAAGCAAACACAGGCAATTAACTTGGCTCCAACAATGCATGTGGTCAAATAAGAAAGACAACCCTTGCAGAGAGGCTGCACCCACCCCCAGTCCCTGCCTCCAGTGAATCCATAAATCTGGCTGTACTTTCACCCAGGCTACTGAGCACTAATGTTAAAGCACATGACCACCACAGAGGTATACGAGAACCATCATGACCAGCTGAGAAAGCCGCCCAGAGTCCCTGAGCCCAATGGGCCACTCAAAGGGCTGAGATGTTAACATCCCCATTTATCAGATGGGCAAACTGAGAAGAGAAAGTTTGAAGAACTTAAATGTAGAATTCTAGAAGGAACTCCTAGACTCTTGGCCTTTTTCTAGGGATGGGCACTTTTCCAGGTCTCAGTGTGACAACCAATCCCTCAGCACTAACAATCCAGGGACAGAGTGGTCTGAGCAGAATCTCAGTCAGCAAGCGAGGCCATCCTGGCTGGTCATGGTCTGCTAAGGATTTTAACCTCCTTTTTATACCTGGGAACTTCTGAACTTCACCTCCCTTGCCGAGGCAGGCAGCCAGTGCTGGCCAGGAAGGTAAGGCAGTGTGAGTCTTTTGGCACCTGCTGACCTCTGCTCTGCAACACTCAATCCTGATATAGAAACATTCACAATTCAGATTGCTGTGCTGCCATGGCTGGGTCAAAACAAAGTCTCCTCTAACCTATTCTCTGATATCCATCATGCCCAATCCTCCATCCTGTAGATTTCTGGATTTCTTGAAGCATTTCAATAATTTTCATGACATACTATTTAGTACAGGGCCTGTGATTCAAATGGCTGAAGAAAACGAAAGGAAAAATTATATTTTGTGAAAAATTATATGAAACTGGATTTCACTGTTCATAAATAAACACAGCCGTAGGTCCTCATTTATGCTGTTTACATTGCTGTGTTGCTGCATTGTAGCTGCTTTTGTATGGTAGAATTGAATTGTTGTGACATAGACCATAGGACTCACAAAGCCTGCAATGTCTACTGTCTGGCTCTTTTTAGAAAAAGTTTAGTTTTTTAACTGACCCCTGGTTTTAGGTAAAAGGCAGGTTACAGGATCACCCTATTTGTAAAATCCCCTGTTGTGGAATGATGTTGTGTCTCCCTAAATTTCATATTGTGGAAGCCCTGATGCCCAGTGTGGTGGTATTTGGAGGTGGGTCTTTTGGGAGGTAATTAGCTTTAGATGAAGTCATGATAGAGGTGCTTATGATGGCATTAGTGTTCTCATAAGAAGAGGAAGAGAGACCAGAGTGCATATCCCGCTATAAGGACACAGCAAGAAGGTGGCCACCTGCAAGCCAGGAAGAGAGCTCTCACCAGCAACCAAATCTGCTGGCACCTTGATCTTGGATTTCTCACTCTCAAGAACCATGATAAATAAATTTCTGTAGTTTAAGCCACCCAGTCTGTGCTGTTTTGTTGTACAGACCTTACATGTAGCTACACACATAAATCAAGGAAGAAAATATGCCCAAAGAGGGGTTATCTCTGCGTGCTAAGATTACATGAAATTATTTAAAAATTTTCACCAAATACATTCAACATAAAAGCATAAAAAGAATATTAGTGACGTTATAAAAATAAGATGGTAGTATTTACTCTGTCTTACTGTGGGGCAAACACTGCTAGCGGTTGACATGCTTCGTTTCACCTGGTCCCCATTCCACCCTATGCATAGGCTCCATTGTATCTCTGTTCTACAGAGGAGGGAAGGAATACTTAAGGAATTTAAGTAACTTGTTCAAGGTCACTCTGCTAGCAAGGAGCACTTTGTATATTATGATGGAAATACACTTAAGAAGCGATAGAGAATTGGGCTGAAAATAGGGATTGGCTTAGAAAGGTTGTTTTATTCCCACTCATGGAGACTAATTCTAGCAGATAATGAAGAAGATGGAGATGCTTAAGACATCCTCATGTCTAGTCTACCTCACAAGATTGCTGTGGAAATGAGATGTAATGTACTTAGAAGTACCTGGAAAATGGCAGAGCACTGTACTAATGGAGATTGGATATTCAGAAACTTGTCAATATCTAACTTTCATTAGGCTGACTTCTCCACTTCTTCCATCAAATCTTTCTGAAATTAGAAACAACATAAATGTCCAAGAAGAGAGGATTGGCTGATTAAACTATGGTGCCTCCACGCAGTGGAATACTATGCAACAACTGCAGAACCAGGCAAGAGTCACATTGTTGCTCTACTTTTAGAGTTGTGGTTTAGAGGCTGTTCTCTGTAGTATAAAGCAAATGAGTAATTATGTTATCATCCACAGTGCCCTTGAAAGTCAGGATTCTTAGCATAGAGAAAAGAGGCACAGATGTAAGAAATAAGTGGTTAAATAAAATCCCCTGCAGGTCAGAATTTGAATTAAAAGAATCAGTATGAACTCATGATGTATTTTTATTATGAACAACAACACATTTCCTAGCTCTGTCAACTGAAAAGGGCAGAAATGATAAACAAACCAGAAACAATGAACACTCTTAAGTGCCTAGATTTTAGTCTCTGAAAACCATTTCCCACTAAGCAGAATCAGGGATGCTTGGAGAAATGGCTTATTCTGGGAAGGGCAAAGCCTGGAATATCTTCGCTTCCTTGCTATTTGGATGACATCAAAGACCACTAAGCCTATGTCAGAAAGAGCTAAAGACATGGTCCAATCTAAGCATTAATAAAAATAATCAGCAAAATGTATTAAAACATAGCACATATGTTTAAACCCATGAGTTTACAAAGATAGTAAAATCAAAACAATAGACCCTAATGTTTACCATAGGAAGATAACAGTAAACCACTCATGTTGGAAACTGGCAAATGAAGGGATAGAATCAAACATTCATCCTGCTCTTCTCATGTGAACTGTACTGCTAGTTAATCCCATAGTGGTGGAAGGAAGTTTCTCTTTATCAAATATTCCAGCTACTAAGTAAAGAAAGAATGATAAACTTAGTATGTCATCATTTTGTAACCTCTAATTAACGAATGGATATAAGCAATAGACATCAATATCTGCAAAAAAGACAAAAAGAGAGGTGGCTAGACATGTGCCTTCTGATAGGAGAGTACCAACAATCCATGAAGTCGTTTTGTACATAAAAATCCAACCTAAATCTGATTGAATAGCTAAAACAATTAATGCATAGGAAAGAGAGATGATAGAAGAACATGTGAAATAGCACCACATGGCTGCAGTCAGAAAAATCCAGAGCTTGGAAATCTTTACAGGACAAAGGATCTAATTCCTTCATCAAATAAATTGCAAGGGGATGTGGGGAGGGGAGGGAGATAAAGGACATTGTGGCAATATTAAAGCAAAGGGATCCATTTTCCTTAGCAATACATATCTCAGTGTCGCAGATAAAATGATGCAATATCTTGGATTTGTTTTAAAGTCGCCTGGTGGCAGGTGAAAAAGTAGGTGGGTGGGGCTAGAGATAAAACAAGATCAGACATATACTGATGATTTCTGAGGCTGGATGAGGATTTATAAAGATTTGCTGTTTTGCTCTTTCCACTTTTCCAAGTGGTTAAAAGTTTTCATGATACAAATTAAATCTCTCCTGATGTCATGCTTGAAGTGGTAATACTAGGCTGGATGCATCAAGGTTCTGACCAGTATCCCTCTTCTTGTGTTTCATGAATAATGCAGCTTTGGGCTTCAGCTCATCCACGCAGGGAACCCCCACGGAAATTCCCTGTCACTCTCCTCTCTGGCCAAGTCAATATGGTGCTTGAAAGCATGCATACGTACACATAAGCAAAAACATCTCAGCAAAGAGCTCTCATGACTCAAACATTCTGCTTTGAAGCTGCAAGGCGGATCAAGGAGTCACGATTTCATGACTGGCACAGGCATTTGATGGAATTTGTGACAGGAGGAGAGAAGAAGTTATGGTGCTGAGGTTAGCAGGTGTTTCCATCTTGAAGCTCTCAGCAAAGGACAAGGCAAATCCGGACGACAAGGGACACTGTGTTCTCACACCATTGTTTGCGCTGATGCAGCTACACTGAATTTCTTCAATCAGATAATAATGTCTGCAAGAGGTCAAACTACCCAAATTCTCTACTGGGGACCTGAGAGGTGAGAGAAATCAGTGTGGCCAAGGAGACAACAGCAAAATCTTAAGCCCTATCACTGGGTGTGGGATGGCGAGAGGAAATACAAATTAGGGGCCAGGAAATAAGAAACCAATCCTATGCTTATTTTTAGAAATGGCACCTCCCAGCCATGAAAGTCTAGTCTGCTGTTGAGGGTGGTTTCCGTTTCTTCAGCCAGCATCGCTAGCATCTGTGAGCATCCTAATTGTGTCCTATAGGGTTGGGGGTCACTCCTGCGGGCTTGCTTTAACCTAGGGCTCACCCGTTTGGGGCACTTCTCACACTGCTGAAGCTGCCCGTTTACTTGTCTGTCTCCCACACTTGCTGGTAACCTTGTTGAGAACGGGGGTTTTGCCTGTTCTTTGTGGTATCTTACCACGTAGCATGGAGCCTGGAATGTGTTTAAAAATGTATTTAAAAAATATTCACTGCAGAGTTGGAGATCACTGCAGAAGCAGGGTAAAGGGGTAGTTATCAGTGCGGGCTTCAGAGGCAGACAGATGTGGGTCTGACTCACAGCCCTGCTAACTCACTACACCCGCTTTCCCAATGCTGTGTTACGGTTTCCAGATTCTACCACCGACTTATGACAAGGCTTTGGATTTTGTAAAACACTTTGAGCCTTTCCTGGAATACATAAAGCATACAGCTGCACATTTGTGTTTCTATATAATAACGTAACTCATCTAGGAAAACAATCCTGGGATTTTGCTGTGCATCTATCTGGCGTGGTTTCCATGGGTGAACCTATAAATAACCAAATCTGAAATTTTGACTACCCACAGTGCCTTGGACTTGAGTTACTAGGTCAGGTGATGAAGTGGACAAAAGAACACCTTCTGACAACCACTTGACTAGATAAGCAAACCTGGGCATCTTCAAATGTGTGTCTCCCTCCATCTTTGACGTTTTGACTGGTTATCTCATAGCTGTGAGAATCCAGGTTGATTGCACTTGGAGCCCCCGGAGCCAGAAACTCTTGCCAGATTTCTTCTACCCTCCTGGCCACATCCTGTAGGGGCTGTTTCTTAAGATCTTGGACAGCCAGCCAGAACCTGAAGAGGGGACAGAAACACAGTCAGTTCAAGAGGGCTCAGCACTGGGATCTTGCCAGAGATGGCCCCAGAGCTGACGGCCCATGAAACCCATTCTGCTGCATCTCTTAGCTGCCCTGATGCCACCACACAGGCTGCAAAGACCATGGAGATGGCTGAAAATATCAAAGGTGTTCCACTGTTGTGGAGGACAGAAAAGAACTGCATATTAAAAAATCAATGTGTTTCTCATTATCTGAAAGAGATTTCTCTCCCTTTATAAGGTTTCTCAGCTCAGCACTATTGCTGCCACTTCGGGCTGGATAAGTCTTGGCTGTTGTGTATAATGTAGGATGTTCAGCAGCAACCTTGGCCTCTACCCACTAGATGCCAGTAGCAACCCCCCTTCCCAAGTTACAACAACTAAACATGTTTCCAAACATTGCCCAATGTCCCCTGGGAGATGAACTCATTCCTGGCTGAGAACCCCAGTGCTACATACATGTTACCACACAGACAGTGTGAGTCCCTTTGTCAAATCTAGTTGGGATCAATTGGTGGCATCAAAATGAAGGAAAGACAGGATCCTGGAATCATAAAGACTATCTGTGCGAGAATGAAGCGACCATTCCTATTCATTCCTATTACAGATGGAGAAACTGAGCCAGTTCAGATCAGTGTTCAGCATGGGGCTTAGTAAATAGTAAGTGCTCCACACATGGGTTTCAAAGTGAAGATGGGCGCATCTGGAACAGTGCTGAAGAGGCATACACTGAAGACTTCTACGCACTTCCCTATTTGCCTGTTTAATCCCTCCGCGTCCGCAAGGGAGCAGACCGTGGGAGAACCGTGTATGAGCTCTTTTTTGCTGAGAGCAGCAGCAGCCAGAGCCAAAGCTTGGACAACAGCTACCGTGTCCAGAGGACGCTTCCCAAGGCAGCCTTGCAGCAGGACCCAGGTCTGGGTGTCACATCCTTTGACCTATGAACGGACAGGCCAGCTCCCCGACACCGGTGAGTCAGAGAGAAGGTCCCGTGCTGGTTCCCACAGCTGCAGGAATCACAGGTAGTCTAGTCGACAGAAAGAGAGGGACAAGCCAGGCTGAACCACGACATGGTGGAAAGTGTGGTCAGGGCATTTGATCTGTCATCAAATTTCATCCAAAGTAAGATGTACTGGGTTGCTTTTTTTTTTTTTTTTTTAAGGTTAAACAGGTTTTTCTGTTGCTGTTCAGAGAAATGTCTTTGGAGCCAAGTGCCTGGCCCAAAGGTGCCACTCAGTGGCAGAGTGGAGTAATGCAGCCCCATTTCCACAAAGTGAGAAGAGGGGTGTGTGTTTGTGTGTGTGTGCGTGTGAGCGTGTGTGTGACCCCATCCCCAAGTGCTGGGCTCCAACTTTTCCCATAATTTGCCATTTTTGGCCATTTAGGATTCTGATGATTTCCTTAAAGGGACCCCTCAGTGACCTTGCAGAGACAAGGCAGGGAAGGCTTCATGACTCCCATCAGATGAGGAAGCCGGCTCTGACCTCCTCCTGTTTATGCGTATCTTGTACCTTTCTGGGTGCCTCTCTCCTCATCTATAAAATGGGCACCGAGTAGATGGAGGGATATGTGACATGGCTCGGGAAAACTTGCCATCCAGACTTAACTCAGAGCTTTCAGGTCCTGTGAGTGGGAGCTGAGGAGGGGTCAGTGTGGTGGCCAAAGGCTCAACGCTGGCCCAGTGTGACCCCCTGCGATTCCGGCCCTCTCTCTGTAGGCGAACCTGGCAGACACTGCTGCCCAGCTCTTGCTGCTGCCATCTGGCGTCCCCTACCCTTCCACAGCTCTCTGACTGCCCCAAGTCCTGGGTGGTCAGGTCCTTCTCGCTTCTGGGTGAGAGGAAAGCAGTCATGTTCCTTTATCCAGAGCCCAGAGAGGGCAGGGAAGGAAGGGCTTGAAAGGAGCTTCAGGCAGGCCCTTGACACTCGAGTTGGGGCACGGGTTTCCTCCATCTCCCAGGCCGGGCCTAGGTTCCTTAGGGCTCTCTGTCCACTCTCTCAGGTCTCAGAAGGAAGTGGCTGAGAGGCTTAAAGGTGAAAACGGCCATCTGCTGGCGAGAGTACCTACAAGGCTTTCCCTGCCTGGAAGGCCACGTCTGACAAGCAGGTGAAAGACACGGGGAACCTGGCTCTAAAGGAAGAAGCCAGTGTTGGTGTTTCCGAGGACCAGAAGGAGTCAAGTCTCCAGAGGTGAAGTCAGTGAGTGCTCCTCAGCGCCATGTCACATAGGGAGGTGCCTGGGCTGAACCCTGGCTGGAAGCAACCTTCTGGGTCAGCGTCTTCCCACGCCCCCTGGGCCCCTGCAACTTGTCACACAAATGGATGACACCCGGGTGATTTCCTGCCCCTCAATCAATGCCACATGGGAGGCCGCCTTCTGCCATCTCTGTCAGTGCTAAGGAGGAGCTGCTGAACCCCTCTGGGAAGGCCCCGAAAATCCCAGGAGCTCTGCAGTCTCCCTGCGGTTCCTGAGAGCTCAGGGTCCTTTTTGCAGGATGATTTGGGGACCACATGAAAATGCACATCACTCAGCTGGATATAGAGATAACCCAGAGCTGATGGAAATACAAATTTCAGAATCTTTTTTTTTTTTTTTTTTTTTTTTTGAGACGGGGTAGGGTCTTGCTCTGTTGCCCAGGCTGGAGTGCAGTGGCTCGATTTTGGCCCTCTGCAACCTCTGCCTCCCAGGTTCAAGTGATTCAGCCTCCTGAGTAGTTGGAATTACAGGGGCATGTCACCATGCCCAGCTAATTTTTATATTTTTAATCAAGATGGGGTTTCACCATGTTGGCCAGGCTGGTCTCGAACTCCTGGCCTCAAGTGATCCGCCCCGCTCAGCCTCTCAAAGTGCTGGGATGACAGGCAAGCCATCATACCAGGCCCCAGAATCAAATTTAATAAATGTTTACATAAAAATGTTTCCTTTGTCACATAAAACCAAGATTTGTATAGGTACAAGGAAAAACAACAGGCGTGCTGGAAGAAGAGGAAGGGGAGGGGAGAGAAAAGGAGGGAAGGAGGGGGGAAGGGGGAGAAGAAACAGAGGGAGGGTGTGGGGTAACATTCCCTAGACAGCAGTTTTCTCTCTCTGCACACACTGGGGACTCTCCCTGGCCTTCTGTCTGCCTTGGAGCTGACCTGCCTTGTCTCTCTCAGACAACAGCAAAAATGCTGTCACAACAGCATCCTGACATCCCATGCGTTTACCGTCACTGGTTTTGAAGAACCTTTGTGTCCATTTGAAATTCAGAACAGGCTTTGGTTCATGTTGGCTGGCCATCTTCAAGCCCATAGGCCTGAGCCAGGAACTCAGAGCCCAGGCTGCCCAGGCCACCCTCCCTGCTGCAGAGAGCCACAGCAGCCCCTCTCTGCATATCTGCTGCCCACGGGAGGCCTGTTGAGGCTTTGGAAGATTCTGCTCTTAACCTGCAGGTACCGCTCCTCCCCGAGGGCAGCAGCGGGGAGTGAAATGCCAGCAACTGCATCAAATCCACCCATCCTGCACTAAGCTCCGTGACTTGCTACAGAAGGGCCGCTGTGACTGGCAGGCCACAGGGACTGGTCTCTGGGAGACCACCTGTCCTGCCCTGACCCTGGTCCATGCCAATTGTTATAGCAGCAGTGGGGAGGCAGCTCCTGTGCAGGCACTTGATCCCTGTTCATGACTTAGAAATGCTGGTGGGGCCGGGTGCGGTGGCTCACAACTGTAATCCCAGCACTTTGGGAGGCTGAGGTGGGCAGATCACCAGGTCAGGAGTTTGAGATCAGCTTGACCAACATGGAGAATCCCTGTCTATACTAAAAATGCAACAATTAGCCAGGTGTGATGGCACATGCCTGTAATCCTAGTTACTCAGGAGCTTGAGGCAGGAGAATTGCTTGAACCTGGGAGGTGGAGGTTGCAGTGAGTCAAGATCGCACCACTGCACTCCAGCCTGGGCACAGAACGAGGCTCCACCTCAAAAAAAAAAAAAAATAAAAGAAATGCTGGTGGGGAAACTGGCATTTGGAGAGAGGCAGCCTGGGCTCAGATACCACTGGGGCAAAGCAGCGGAGAACAGGATGGGAGGGCCACCCAGGGGGAGCCCCCTTTCTCCCTAGAGGCTTTCAAGGAATAGGATTTTCTCTCAAGGCTGGCTGCGCAAAAAAAATCGTGTGGCCTTTGATCATTCTCCATCCTGCCAGGAGGTCTGGGCAGACCCTCAGTCACTGCTTTACATATCTTTTCCTAAACTAGAATTTTCATGGGTTTGCAAATACAGCTTTTGGGTTGTTCCCAGAGAAAAAGCAAACTCCGGGAGAGAAGAAAGTGTTTCTGTGCCCTCTGCTGGTCAACCGGAGACGTAGGAACAGGGCTTAAACTTGGTTTAGTTCCCTGAGGGGCCGAAATTCCCAGGCACCTACTTTAGTAACGCCCCCAGCACCACTGAAGCTGAGTCCTGCTCACTGGGCAGTGGCTGAAACACTGCAGATGGTTGTGGTGTCGTGGGAGTCATCGCTGTTCCTATTAATCGTGGGTTTGGTAAGTGGTGGGTCCTGCTGGGCCTAGCAAACCTTCTGAGGTCCGGAGTCAGGGCCCCTGCCAGAGACTAGAGCTCTGGAGAGGAACCAGGCACCCCACTGTGCTCCCTTTTAATTGCTTCTCCTTTCAGCCGACACTGTGTGGAACTCAGATCACCAATCTTCAGGTTAGAGGAGCAACTACCTTCTCTCAGGAGATGTTACAGCTCATAAAAAATGTACAGGGGACACTCCTGGCTGTGGATTTTGATTTTTAACTCATTCTCTGCCATGCAGCAGAGGGTGTAAGCCAGGGAGGACAAAAATTTGTGTAGGGGAGATGTGGGAGAGGGCACAAAGATGGATGGCGAGGAGTGACTGTCACTATTCCGGGAAAATACACAAAGCAGGCGGAAGGATGAGGCCAAGAAACTGAGCGGAGCTCCCTGTCTCAGAGCTGTGAGGCCCCTGCCCTGTGGACAGAGCCATCTGCATTCCCAAGGCACTCGGCAAACAGCTGTCTGTGGCTCCATTCAGGGCAAAGGGAGCTGGCACCTGGCTCAGGGTGGGTCTGAGAAGGAGAAAAAGAGGTCGTCCTTGCACAGAGAGCTCACGGCTTCAGCAAAATGCACTGCTGGCCATACCCCACCCAGTCCAGGGAGATGACGCCCCATCCTCATCTCACAGACCCACCCGGAAGAAACTGATCAAAGGGGACTTCAAATTCTATTGTGTCATCATAGAAGTCATTCCTTAAAGGATCCAGGGTGACACTTTGGTTCTCCTCTGTTCTGCATTCTGAAGCTCTAATACAAATTCAGCCGCTTGGCTACTTAACTGGCACCCCGTGGGTTGAGCAAAATGTGATATCTAAGCATCTATTTCACTGGAGAGACAAGAGGGAGCACAGGAGCACAGAGGAAGTGGACAAGCACTTTGTAGTTTACTCAGGTGAGTTCTGGGTCAGGCTTTTTCCTGCCATGCTACAATGCCAGTGGCCTGGGTCTCTGACCAACTCTGCAGAGAAGGGACGGCTCCAGCAGAGCCAACATGACGGGTTGGTAGGACCCTCAAGTTGTGCCATATTGCACAACTCCCAGGGGCCACCATGGCGTGGGCCACGGTGGAGGTGCATCTGCATGGCTGTGCATGGCTGCCCTGATATTTATGCAGTCAGATTTGAATCCTAGACCCCATGCTACGGTAGGTGCTACGTCGGCATCTGCAGCTAAAGGAATGGGGAAGAGGCCATCCTGTGATGGATGACAGAAGAATCCTACAGTTATGTGATTGACAACTGGGCTTCCCTCCCACCCATCATGTAGCCAGTCATGCTGAATATCATAAAAATGGAATCTGGGCATCCAGAGAGGATTTCAGAGGCTCTTGCCTCTCCTTTTCCTCCCTGCTATTCTATTTTCCTTACTCCCTTTCCTGTCATGGATCGGGGGTGACCCTCTGAAGTCTGGATTTCCGCATGCTAGGGGGTGTGGCTTAGGCTCTGGTACACAGACACATGCTTACACGTGGGCGTTCACCCAAGATTAAATGTAGTCCTCCTGGCACGGGGAAAGGAGCTGGCAGAGGTGCAGGAGGTGATGGCAGGAGGAAGCACTGAACACCTGCCAGGGACACACTCCTCGGTGCACTCCAGGCCTTAAGTGTGATGCATAATTTGTGAAAGTAGTCTGAACTGCTGTGTGGTTCTGACTACACTCGGGGCTTTCCAGAATAAATGCTCTAACCAGGCAAGGCAGTAGCTGAGCCAGTGGATGCTCCTGGGACCCTCACAATGACCAAATCCTGGGTCATTCTTCAAGCTCTCTGCAATAGTGCAGGCAGTGCTACCTGTGGGCTGAGATGTAGTTAGGTAAAGGGGAACTCTATACCACTCCATCTTGGAGACCCAAGAGGAACAGATAAGAAGGGGAGATGAAAAAGACTCCCAGAGATGGCTCATAGGGGCCATGGTGGGGGTAGAAACTGGGACTGAGCTGCCTACACAAAGAGACCGCCTAGGTCCATCAAGCTGGCCACAGAGGGCTTTCCTTCCTATGCCCAGGAAGCTAGTCTGGGCACCACCCTGGTGAAGAGTATAAGAAGTCAAACCTTCTCTTACAAATACTTCATCAGGCATTGAAGCAAAGATCTGAAGTGTTTGGAATCATGCTTCAGCATAAGGAAAGGTGCCTGTATCATAACCCAAAATAAGATTCTCAGCCTTATCTGGTTTACAACAGACACATGGATGCCTAGAATGGTGTGCTCCATACAGCTAGTCAGCATCTACGCGTCCTCCCAGGAGCTTACAGCGTGGGAGAGTCTCACGGCCACCCCTCTCCTCATTTGGTCCTCCAGCTTGGAGTATTCTCTCTCCTTCTTCTTTGTCTACTGTTATCCTGTATATTCTTTAAAGTCCAGCTTATGATTTAACCACTTCAGCTTTCATTGATTCTTCTCCTTTAAATGCTTTCAAAATGGTTCTTAGAGTTTTACACTCATTTATAGACATTCAACGATTTAATCACTTCTTATGCTTTTTCCTCAAGGACCTACAAGGTCGTTGCAGGCAAAGATCACACATCTTGACTTGCGTCTCTCAGCAGACTCTCACAGGGCTTGATACAGCACAGGTGTGGCATAAATATCACTTGATTGACATATGGGACTGAGATGGTCTCAACTTCAACTAAGTAGATGGATGTTACACGTTAACTTTGGAGGGGCAGTCCTTTGCTTGCAGTACATGCTCTGAGTTTTTAAAGTAATAAAATATTTAAACATTATTAAAACATCTTTAAAGAAAACAGCACTGGAAGATGAGTGTTACTCTGCTATATAAATCAGAATGTGGCACAAAGAAAAAAGAGAGAGAGATTCCATCTTACCCATTAAGAAATCACTAGTTTGCTAAGATCACTAGGTAAGTCTTAGATAAGTCACATTTTCTTCAGATTTCTGATTCTTGATCCAATGCGATAAAAGTCTAAATAAACAAGTTCCCCAATTTTTCATGACCAAAGAGATCTTACTTTTAATTTTCCCCCTTTTCTTCCTCTCATATTGGACCTGAGGTTTTGAGTATCTTATTTTTTTCTCCTATTAAACAGTAATTATTAATACATTCTCATCAAGTACCAGTTACAGAACAACAGGATCAATCAGATGTTCTCACTGGCATCAGATGATCAGAGTAACCACTATTTGGAGTTGACAGAAGTTGTTCTAAAAGAAAAAAGCATGTTTTTATTAGCTGCTACAGTTACGTAGCTGCTACAGTTACATCTCTGGTTATTGAGTGGTATTTACTTTGCTTGTTGAAATTCTGAAATGAGCCCACTGACTCCTCCCTCTTCTGTTTAGCGTCTCAGACATTCAGGTCCCTAGACTGGGAAGTTTGGAGGAGAGAGCCTCTGAGCTGCCTCTCCACTCTGAAGCTTCCTGGTTCTGTGGCTGTACTTAATGAATAATGTCATCAAATCCGTTTGACTATTTAATTATTATTGAAGACTTACTTCCAATTAGTTGAACAAAGGTCACAGAGACTTGAAGTAAAACATGCTGGTGTTAGTAGGTGCTATTATGGTGGAGTCAGAGTTGCATATTTTAATTTGTTCTTCCCCATTTCAACCTCAGCCAGATTAGCTGGCATTTGAATTTGAACCCTGATAATGTTTTATTGAGAAAGAGAGATGGAGAGACTGATCATGCAAATTTCTTCACACACATTCTGCACACAGCTCAAACTCTGAGAGATTTACCTGAGGTTTTCTGAACTGAATTCGGACTCCAGGAATCGTAGAAACTGGTCTCGTCCCACCTGGTCTTTCAATATCTCATCAAAAGAGAAGCCCCATCTTTTTACTCGCTGTTGGCTGGGCTCTTTGCTTTGGGGTGAAAGAAGAAGGTTAAAAAAAATCAATACCAGGGAAAAGCTTGTGTCATATTCTCTTCAGTGACTCCAATCTGTTTTGCAGTCATGCACCAAAGGGAAACATCTCATATTTAAGGGGAAGATTCTATAAAAGCTGCACAAATTCCAAATGCAGACCTTTGTATAACAACAGCAACCAGTGATGAACAGTTTCTTTAAGGAGGCATGTTAAGGGATGGTCACCAGCATGCCCTTCAAATGGCTGCTGTCTCCCATGTCATTTATTAAGCTCCCTGAACCATTCCTGTCAATTATGGACCCAATTTTTGACTCCATAATTTTTTCATGAGTACTATAACCCAGGATGCTTCATGGACCCAATCTTTCATCAAAACATATTATCCCCCACCTCCCACACCTTCTTCAACCCTCAGGGGAGAAATTAGGGTCCTGCTTAGAGTCAAGGGATGTACAACTGGTTACAAATGTATTGACACATCCAGAATAATGCATATTCTCTGGTTAGAAGCAGACTGTTACATGTATTTATTGCTTTAACAACCATGTACAGTGCTTACCATGTGCTAGACATCGTCCAAGCATTTTACATCTGTTAACTCACTGAGTCCTCACAACTAGTCTGTGAAAAATATACTAGTATTATTCCCATTTTCCAGATAGAGAAAGTGAAGCCTCATGATAGTTTGCCCAAGGACACACAGCTAGGAAGTAATGAAGTCAAGAATCAAATCTAGACAGCAAGGCTCCAGAGGGCATCCAGTTGTTGTTGTTGTTGTTTTTTTTTTTTTTGAGACTGAGTCTCACTCTGTCAGAGTGCAGTGGTGTGATCTTGGCTTACTGTGACCTCTGCCTTCCCAGGTTCAAGCGATTCTCCTGCCTAAGCCTCCTGAGTAGCTAGGACTACAGGTGTGCACCACCACGGCCAGTTAATTTTTTGTATTTTTAGGAGAGATGGAGTTTCACCATGTGGGCCAGGCTGGTCTCGAACTCCTGACCTCAGGTGATCCCGCAATGTGATGTGTAGAGATTCACTCAGGGTGGTTGACAAAATATTAAGGGAAATATTTGGGAAAGTGGTAAGATTATAGTCTCAAACCTTTTGGAAAGCTGAAAGGTTTTTATTAACTTATGGAACAGGCTGAAGGCAGCCAGTCCTTACGTTAGAGCCTGAGGTCATAGAGTGAAGATTAGGGATAACAGAAGCATCCCCAGTTAAGTCTGTTTGGCCCTACATTCCTTTGTCTCTACTCTACCTACTTGTTTACTCATATAAACTTTGTGCTGGATAGCTCTCTCGGGGAGGTTGAAGGGGGATTACTAGTTAATGGTGTTTGCTCTGGGCTCTGGAACCAAACCTTTTGTCATTCGTAAAACCACTCTTTTAACCATGTTAATTATCCACAAGCATGTTGACTTAGAACCTCTGTTATTAAATCCATACTGAATAAATGCGAGGGCGAACAGCAAGTAGGGGTTGGTTAGCTACAATTGCCCTCTGAGAGCAGCTGATGACCTCTCTAGCCCACTCAATTCACTGTGTTTTGTGTGTGAGTGTATTTATTCATCCATTGCTGAACCAGGGTCTGCAGGACAGACCTCTGGAAGTGGTGATCGGCATCTCAGGTAGCGTCTCTGACATGATCAATGCCGCAGTGATGTTATTAGGAGGTAGGATCTTTGGAAGGTGATTAGGTTATGAGTGGGATCAGTGCTCTATGAGAGACCAGAGATCTAGTTCAAAGATGGCTGTCTTCTTGCTATGAAGACATAGCAAGAAGACAGCCATCTATGAACTAGAAAGCAGATCCTTGCCAGATATTGAATTTGCCAGCACTCTGATCTTGGACTTGCTTGCTCCAGAACTGTGAGAAATAAATTTCTGTTGTTTATAAGCCACATAGTCTATAGTATTTTTGTTATAGCAAACTATAACAGATTAAGACAGAAATTGATACTGCAAGTAGGATGCTGCTGTAATCAACAACTAAAAACGTGAAAGTGGCTTACAGGGTAAAGAAGAGTTTTGAGATATATGTTAGAAAAAGCCTCAGTTGGCTGGGTGTGGTGGCTCATGCCTGTAATCCCAGGACTTTGGGACACTGAAGTGGGTGATTCATGAAGTTAATAATTTGAGACCAGCCTGGCCAACATGGCAAAACCCCATCTCTACTAAACACACACACACACACACACACACACACACACACACACACACACACAATTAGCTGGGCATGGTGGTGGGCACCTGTAATTCCAGCTACTCTGGAGGTTGAGGCAGGAGAACCATTTGAACCCAGGAGGTGGAGGCTGCAGTGAGCCGAGATCACCCTACTGCACTCCAGCCTGGGTGACAGAGTGAGACTCTGTCTGAAAGAAAAAAAAGAAAAGAAAAGAAAAAGGCTAAAATGCTATAACCAGGCCTGTATTGGATATTTTGGTGAGGGCTCAGAAAGAAAAGAGGAGAGCTATAAAGAAAGCCTCAATCTTCCTTGATAATACCTAAATTATTATTTTTAATAATATGGTAAAAGCCATTCTGTGACTTTTAGACATAAATGAGACTTATATTACTGGAAACTGGAGAAAGTTGATCCTCACTATAAAGTAGCAAAGAATTTGGCTGAATTGTATTTGAATTCTAGTATTTTGTGAAAGGTAAAACTTGCAAGCAATGAAATTAACTATTTAGCTGAGGAAATTTCTGAGCAATGTGTTGAAGGTGCAGATTGGCTCCTCCTGACTACTTAGAGTAAAACATGACTACAGAATTGTCAAGCAAAAAGAAACCAGAACCTGAAGATTTGGAAAATTCTTAGTCTATCCATATTGCAAAAAATAAAAAATAAAAAAAATAAGACCACTAACAGTGTGGCCAAGTTACAGTTTGATAAGGATATTAGTATGGATGAGTCATCTTAATAGAATCCAGGAACTACTCTTCCTGGGCCATGTGGTGGTAGAGCAGAACAGTTTTAAAGGATCAACTCATCTCTTCAGTTTAGGTAGGCCAGGATGCCCCTGCCCAGTGCCTTGGGGATGAGGTCCCCACAGACAGCTGCAATGTGGGCTGCACTCAGCAGAGCCATGGGGGACTGGGCTACACAGAAAACCTGCAGGCAAGGAACCCCAGCCTGGGAAAGCCCCAGGGGACCCAGGAGAAAGCTGCTGTGGGGCCACCCCATCAAGCTGTGTGGATAATGCTGCCACCCAAATGGGCCTGGAAGACAGAACATCAGCCCAGGAAGGCCATGGGTGCATGACTCCAGCCCAGGAGACCTGTGGAGGTGGGGCTACTGCCCCAGTGGGTCTAAAAGACAGAGCATTGAGCCAAAAAGAATTATTCTAGAGCCTTACAGTTTAAGGCTGTTTTGCCCTGTTATAACAGTTTTTCCCTGTTATATTTTGGACTTACTAGGGACCCATTACCTTTGTTATATTTTGGACTTACTTGGGACCCATTACCTTTTTCTTCTTTCCTATTCCACATTTCTTCTTTTGGAATGAAAATATCTATCCTGTACCTCTCCCACTACTGTAGTTTGGAAGCACATAACTTATTTGGTTTCACAGGTTCACAGCTGGAGAGGAATTTGCCTCTGGATAAATGGTATTTTTAATCTCATTCATATCTGATTTAGATGATATTTAGACAAACTTTGGACTTTAGAAGTGATGCTAGAATAAAGACTTTGGGGACTATTGGGATGGAATGAATGTATTTTGTATGCAAGAGGGCATACGTTCTGGGGATCTTGGGGTAGAATGGTATGGACTTAATGTGTTCCCCCTCAAATTTACATGTTGAAATCCCGATCCCCAATGTGATGATGTTGGGAGGTGAAGCCTTTGGGAGGTAACTGGGTCATGTGGAATGCGACTAGTGTCCTTATAAAAAGACACCCCAGAGCTCTCTTGCCTTTCTACCATGTGAGGATCCAGCAAGAAGCCAGCCATTTATGAACTAGGAAGGAGGCCCTCACCAGACACCCAATCTGTGGCATCTTGACCTTAAACTTCCCAGCCTTCAGAACTGTGAAAAGGAATTTCTATTGTTTTTAAGCCACACAGTCTATGGCATTTTTGCTTTAGCAGCCTGAACAGACTAAGATAAGTTATTAGAAAAATTATGAAATAATAAGACAATTCCTTAAAAAGAAAATAATCCAATATCTCCATCTCAGAGCCAAGGCTACTGAAGAAACAATCATAATTTTATTTAATACCCCAAGAACAACCTGAGGGTCCTGAATATGCCAATGGAGAGTGGTCCGGTTATTTATGCTGTGTAACAAACCATCCTAAAACCCAGGGGCTTGAAAAAGCAACTTATTATTCTCTCGCTCTCCTATGGGTTGACTAGGTTCCACGGGGTGGTTCTCACTTGGGGCTCACATGGTTGTAGGTGGGTGGCAGCTGGAGGTGGGGTCATTTGAAGGTTTGACTGGGCTGTGCATCCAGGAAGGCTCATCACCTAGCAGGTGATGCTAGTTGCTGACCAGGAGCTCAGCTGAGGCTGTTGACCAGCCTATCTGCACATGGCCTCTCCAGTGGCTTTGGCTTCTCATAGCATGGCAGATGGATTCCAAGAAGGAACCTCTCAAGAGCAAATATTTAAAATGACCACGAAGGAAGCCACCACAGCGGTTCTGCATCACTCATTCTCAAACAGTTTGAGAGAGGGAAAAATATGTTCCCTTCTTTTCATCTGGCCTTGGTCTTATTGTTCTACTTGATATAAAGAGGGAAGGCACCAATCGGCCATATTTGGAGATCCACTACCATAGGAAAGGAGCTTGACTAACATCCTGGATTAATAGTTCTGTCAAACTTGCTGTGCATGGGCAGCGCAGGGATGATCTCTGCCTCTCAGCAGGTCAGGCTGGCTGCGAGTGAATGCCTATGGCTAAGCTGGACAAGCCAGGTTCCTTGCAGTTCTTTGCTCATGTGCCTGATACCCAGAGAGGGAGAGAGAAATGGAAGTCATGTGGAGAG